CCCCCAGTAACCCTCCCAGTGCTCCCAGTGTCCCCCAGTAACCCTCCTAGTGTCCCCCAGTAACCCTCCCAGGGCTCCCAGTGCCCCTCAGTAACCCTCCCAATGCTCCCAGTGCCCCCCAGTAACCCTCCCAGTGCTCCCAGTGTCCCCCAGTAACCCTCCCAGTGCCCCCCAGTAACCCTCCCAGTGCTCCCAGTGCCTCCCAGTAACCCTCCCAGTGCTCCCAGTGCCTCCCAGTAACCCTCCCAGTCCCTCCCAGCGCTGGCAGTTTTTCCCTGGCAGCCCAGCCGAGCTGCACAGCCCCTTCCCACCCATTTTCCCTGGGAATTCCCCCTGGGAATTCCCATGATCCATGTCCCCCCAGCTGGCCCTGAAGCACCGGCAGGGCAAGAACCACAAGATGAGGATCATCGCCTTCGTGGGGAGCCCCGTGGAGGACAACGAGAAGGATGTGAGTGAAACCCACCTTTGGGGTGGATTTTGGGGGTCCCTGGCACCAAAATTCCAGCCTCAGACCCCATCCAGGAGGCTCTGGAGGCCTGGATCCCTGGGCTGGATCCATGGGGTGGATCCCAGGGCAGATCCAGCTCTCCCAGAGGGAGCTTGTGCCATGTCCTGTCACCTGCTCTGAGCTCTTTTCCTGAGGATCTGGGGTGGGAATTCCACGCTCTGAGCCTTGGCTTGGAGCTGGGAGGATGATTTTGGGCCAAATCCTGGTGGATCAGAGCCCCCAATCCCAACTAATCCCACCTTTGGGGTGGATTTTGGGGTCCCTGGCACCAAAATTCCAGCCTCAGACCCCATCCAGGAGGCTCTGGAGGCCTGGATCCATGGGCTGGATCCATGGGGTGGATCCCAGGGCAGATCCAGCTCTCCCAGAGGGAGCTCGTGCCATGTCCTGTCACCTGCTCTGAGCTCTTTCCCTGAGGATCTGGGGTGGGAATTCCACGCTCTGAGCTCTTTCCCTGAGGATCTGGGGTGGGAATTCCACGCTCTGAGCTCTTTTCCTGAGGATCTGGGGTGGGAATTCCATGCTCTGGGCTCTTTTCCTGAGGATCTGGGGTGGGAATTCCATGCTCTGAGCTCTTTCCCTGAGGATCTGGGGTGGGAATTCCATGCTCTGAGCTCTTTCCCTGAGGATCTGGGGTGGGAATTCCACACTCTGAGCTCTTTCCCTGAGGATCTGGGGTGGGAATTCCATGCTCTGGGCTCTTTTCCTGAGGATCTGGGGTGGGAATTCCATGCTCTGAGCTCTTTCCCTGAGGATCTGGGGTGGGAATTCCACGCTCTGAGCCTCGGGTTGGAGCTGGGTGGCTGATTTTGGGCCAAATCCTGTTGGATCAGAGCCCCCAATCCCAACTAATTCCATGGCCTCTCCTCCTGGCAGCTGGTGAAGCTGGCGAAGCGGCTCAAGAAGGAGAAGGTCAACGTGGACATCATCAATTTTGGGGAGGAGGTGAGACTTCTGTGATCCATGGGGTGGGTTCTGAGCTTCTGGGAGCCTGAAAATGGAATTTGGGGAGGAGGTGAGATATCCATGATCCATGGCAGGGTCTGGGAGCCTGGAAATGGGATTTGGGGAGGAGGTGAGACTTCTGTGATCCGTGGGGTGGGGGCTGGAGATCCAGGAGGTGAGACTTCCACGATCCAGGCAGGGATGGAGATCCAGGCAGGCTCTGAGCTTCCAGGAGCCCGAAAACGGGATTTAGGGAGGAACATTTTCCCTCCGGAAAACCCCTCTCCCGCTTCCCTGTG